AGTTGCGGCTCATGGAAGTCGGGGGACTGTTTTGGAGCTGGAGAGCGTCCAGAGGCGGTTTACACGTCTTATTGATGAGGTGGGTACTCTTCCGTACAGCCGTAGACTGGATATTCTCAATTTGACAACGCTGGCAGAGCGGCGAATACGTGGGGACCTTGTTGAAGCTTTTAAAGTAACTAGTGGTTTGACTGAATATGGATCGGGTTTGTTCAGATTGAGCAGATCTGGTCTTAATCTTGTTTCAACCAATAGATGTAGTAAGAGTGTAACTAAAGTGAAGAATCTCCAGTCTTCTTTTCTTCCGGAGCGAGTCATTCCTTATTGGAACAAACTCCCTCCAGATGTCAAGAACTGCTCGACAGTTTTAAGCTTTAAAGTTAGATTGGAAGGATTTAAGAAAGAAATGATTTCTAAAATCAGTGTTCTTCAACCAGCATAACCATGCTGATCTTGATTGGACAAACAAAAATTTCGAATTTAAATTTTGACACCAAGTCTACCCTAGGGTCCACACATCCAAAATGATTATCTTGAACTGTACTTCCTACTGTACTTCATTACAGTATTAAGATAATATAAAGCAAATCATGTGAATATATGACTACGAAATAGATCTATAGACTTGTCCATAATATTTAATACCGTATTGATGGTTTTGAATTTTGTATATTGAATTTTAATGTGAAGCGTTTACTCTTCCCCCTCGGCAATTAATTAGAAAGTTAGATTAATGACAACAATTGCCAAATGACGTAGTAGATATAGATGTTCAATGTTGTAGAGTGATTTCAAGAGTAGTGGTCCACAGGGGCCCGAAAAAGCCGTACAGGCACTTGGGTCCTTATCCTTGTCACTAGTCCCAATTGGATTCACTTTACACAAAACATGAACGTTTGCAATTTAGACGTACAAATTGGCACGATATTTATTAGAAAGCAAACAGTATAAAATAATACGTGCGTGCGCGGCTTGAGCCGCGCCGCATAACAATTTATGCGTTTAGGGGCTGGAGTACGCGTGTTTACAAATTAATGAATTGTTGCATTGTAAATATTTAAAGTTGACGATATATTATGATTTAATAGTAAATTTTTCAAAGCTGGCTTTGGACTTAGGTAAAATTATAATTTATTTATTTGAAAGAAAAAACCACGGATAGTTTTAAATTTACATAGTCGTATAACTATAATCAAGTTAATCCTGTTTTCAAGAATGCGCGGCTTTGGCGGCCAGTTATTGACTTGTACATAAAATTGAATTTTAAATAGAATTGTGAATGTATTAAAATTTAAAACTTTCAAAACGGAGGCTTATAAATATTATTATATTATGATTGTAAAATAAAGGATAAAATTTTAAATTTGTTTCACTAAAATTTGTTTCACTTGAAATTGAAAATTAGCTGGGTGGCATTTTCCTTTGCCTTACTAACGTGTGTGAGCGCAGTGTAGTGAGAAAGTGTTTTTAACTTAGGATTATGATTTATGATTTTTGAACTATTACATTGATAAGATTTATTTTTGATAGGTACTTAATAAAGTTGATGAATTCCCCTCCCTATTCAAATTTTAAAAATATTTAGTGAAAATTGATTAACGAAGATCTAGATATTGATACATATTATAACCAACATTGCTTATCCTCTGCCTTTTTAACAAAGAGCAAATTTTCTTAATGCCTTCTCCCTGTCCTAAAACCAAAACTTCATCCTATTAAAGTAAAGGCCTGTTGTTACCACAAGCTATTATACAGTCCCTCTCAAAAACATGCCTCAACCTCCATCAAAAACAATTTTAGTTTTCAGTCCTTCTAGTTTCCAAAAATGTACCGAGCTAGTGTTCTGGTGTGCACAAAAGCCCCTAAGCCCGTGCATTCCTTGCCCCGCTAGCTGCCAGTCCTTGGCAAACTTCCAATAGCAAAGATCAACTAGTCATTTACAAATTGAGCACTGTACAATTTTAATTGTTTTAAATATTTGACTTTGTAAAATGAGCTAAAACATTGATTTTATTAGTTTCATTGATTTTATTAGTTTCATTGAGTGTAAATGATTTTTATTTTTGGAATGTTTCGAATGAAGTTTCAGGGAAAATTGAAGGACCCAGTTATTTAAGCAATAAGGAGAAACATAATGAATATCTTTGGTTCCATCCTTTTGTGGTAAAGAAGCGTTTTGTAAATCTTTATTCCACTGGGAAGTATTAATGAATTATTTATAGATAATGTATTTGATTTTATTAATTAATAAAATTGAATTTAATAAATTATTAATGTTGATGGAAAAATATATTTATTTAAATTATTTTTCTATTTAGTGCAATGATATTTTGTAGACACTTGTGATGATGTTATGTCATAATCTTTACTTACTTACTTACTTACTTTAAAGAAAGCTTTGATAAACAGAAAATCATCAGTATATATAAATAGAGATTTTGGAAGATTTTTGAAAAGGAGCTTTTCTGCCGTCCCCTTGACCGAAATTTCACTAACAATTTTACTCTGACAATTTTACTGACAACTTGCAATTTGACCAGTGACCAATCAGTGAGGTCGGTGAGATTGACACAAGTCGCCATCAAGGTACTGGAAGCAGTATATCTGGAGAAAACTTTGATGCAATGAAAATTTTAAATATGTTTTACCGATATCGATAGGACATATTCAAATTTTAGATTTTCGTGACCCAAATTTCACTGTTTTGGCTGAATTTTCTTGAATGACCATTTTACAGGGTCACCGAGGATGACACAAAACACAATTGAGGTACTCAAAGTTCTTTTTTTTTAAAGCTTTGATAAACAGAAGATCATCAAAATATAAAACTTTCGAAATTTTCCAAAACCGTCGACGAGTCCAACTCGGTGCGTGTTTTAATAAGTTAGGTTTTAAACTACAATGATTAGCCTGATCTTGTTTTCAGGTCATGAACAAGCGAAGTTTGTAATTGTGGCTCATTTGTCATTTATAACGTTAATTATTTTTACTGGGCGGCGCTCAGCCTGTCATTCCGCCGAATCTTTATTTGTTTATGAACATAATAGCCTGGGGTCCACAGGTAATGATTATTTCGATTGACAATGTCAACCCATCAAGATTGTTAATGATATTTTTTGATGCAAAGCAAGAATGATAGTTTGCGCGCGGCGCGTCGAAGTTCTCCAATTTGTAGCTCGATGCATTACTTGGGGACCTCAGGCTATTATGTTCATAAACACTAGAGATTCGGCGGAATGGCAAGCTGAGCGCCGCCCAGTAATGCGATGCACTATTGTCCATTGTTCATGGACTAGCCCGGCGCGCGCTATTTCCTTGCACTTGTCTCGGGCCATTTCGAGAAAAGGTGGCGCGCGCTACGAAGAAATTTAGACCATTCAAATTCGCGTTCGTCAAAATGCAACCACTTCGGTATATCGGCAAAATGCACCACTTTATTGGGTTGACGGATGTTACTCGTCTAAATTTCTTCGAAGTAGCGCGCGCTGGGATAGTCCATTAACAATTGAAAACTATTAATTAACTGGGCCACGCCGAGCTGCGAAGGATTTACATCGTGAAGACTGAAGCAAGTAAAGTGGCTCAATGCTCATTGTCAGCAGTTGGCTTGATTCACGAATTACATTTCCTTCTCCAGCTTCATGTACGTGCTTCACGCGCGAAAATCACTTTACAGTCGATCTTCGAGATTGTTCTCAAAATTAAAACTAACTTCATTCAAAGTATTTTCGGACGCTGATTCCGAATCACACCCCCCCCCCCCGAAAAACTGTCCCGATCACGTGATATGATATTTGACGGATGCTACTCGTCTAAATTTCTTCGACAGAAGAGTTCATCTGCATCACCAAGGCCAATCACGTAGTAGATTACCTGGGGAAGCTCCAGTGTAAGGTAATATGTATGTACTACGCCACTACGGCTTAATTAAGAGAGATAGAGATAGAGATTAGATAGATATATAATATAAAGAGAATAATTTTACAAAAATGACAGTACACACATGTGCTAGGTGGTGCATGTGTGTGAGTGTGTCACGAACTTTTCATACACATGCGCTTCCATCATCAATCATACATATACTACACTATAATTATTGAATACATTATGCCATACAATTCCATCCATGACCATCCCACATCTATCCATGGTAAATTTTAATGTAACTGTGCATGCACCACCCAGCTTACGTGTTAAAAGCATGGCACGATTATAAATATTAGTGTAGACACGACGAAGAAGCAGTTGTTTATGTTGTGCAGATCTGTGTTAACGTTACGTTAAGTAAACAAACATACACCCACATCACCTCTGATCACCGATGTTTTTTTAGCTAAATAAACATAGACCAGCTAACACCGTCTTTTCATCGGTGCATTCCAGCAGCAAACCATTAAACATTTGGTTATGTTTTGCCTTGTTCTATTGTAATACTATAAATTTTGACGAGTTATTATCTAGTTTCTAGGCCAGGTGGACCTTTAACTTAAATATTTCATCGAACTTGAAGCATGAAGGTTTCTTAAATAATCAAACCACAAACGAGCAATTTACTTGCAGTTTTAATAGGACGTGGGTAATATGCCAAATTTTTCGATTTGTTGTATATCGCCCAGATAAGATGCATGCGTCAATCGATAGGAAATCAGGAAATGTCTGTTCAAACTTGACAACAGAATCGACTTTCAATTTTCATGCTGAATATACCAGTTGGTCATGTTTTGCAGATGTAAGAGTTTAAACACCTCACATAGTACATACGATTAATGCGCTTTAAATTATCAATTATGACCTTAATTCTTACAAGCAGCAATTATCATGCATGCAGACAATCTGCTAACCTCAAATATAACTGCATAATGTCGCCAGGCAAAATTTAACTCTCAGATCATTTAAAAATGCACTTCATCCACAAGATGAGAATATAATTGTATAGCTCATCTCGAATAATTACTAGACCTCAGACTGCTATATACTAGGGAGGGCTGAGAAGCAGGAAGATGGGTATGTGTGATAACAAAACCAACCTCCTACTAATGGTAGTGAACGGAGTGACGGTGTTAGTGGGAATACTGGTCACTATTTGTGGGGTCCTGGGGATCCTCAACCAGGCTACTATCCAGGAGTACAGCGGCGGGTTTGTCAACATACTTATTATTTCTTGTTTGAACATGGCGTTTAAGCGTTATGTGCCCGATTATTTCCATCAATTTTGCTACTATTGAACAATGTACATTATTATGGACCCTACCGACCAACGATATGTTGAGAGAGAATTCAACGTTATCAGTATGCAGATTTCAGGTCATTGTACTCTAAGTAAAAAGACTGAGAGGTGTTATAAATTATGAGGGCCCCACCCTTCATTGCAAATCAGCTTCTTGGCACTACTAGTACAACAAGACCTATAGTCTACAGTTTAAACATTCTTGATTCTAAGCAAATGCTTACCTGGGGACCCCAGGCTATAATGTTCATAAAGATTCGGCGGAATGACAGGCTGAGCGCCGCCCAGTAAAGCAAATGCTAGATGTTTCACTTTCAGTGCACATGAAAGTGAAGCAACATGTACAGCCCCTGCCGAAAATCAATATTATGACAAACTGCAAAACTACAGGTCAGGCTTCTCCTACTGAAATTTTCGAAGCAGCCTGAGAGCCAGAATGCTATCGTCACCGGCACCACAGCACATGTTATTAAAACTCCCCCAAACAGCAACAAACTCTGTGGAGCTCTTCCCATGACCACCCCGGAAATTCACCCTTCTTCTCACACAGGTACAACATAGAACTGGTGATGTACGGAGTAGTAATTACAGGAGTTATTATTCTACTAGTAGGCGCTGTCGGCTGGTACGCTGGTCTAACAAGTAGCATCAAGGTGTGCAGGATATATTGTGCCCTCATCCTCATTATTATTCTGCTCCAGGCTGCCTTCGCTGTCGTTGGTAATTATCTTATTATTGCAATTATCATTCTTTAAAGAGGATATAGACGAATTTCCGCCAAAATCTTTTCCTATCAGAGTTTTCTTTGAATCAACGTCTTAACCATCGCTGAACGGATGATAAATGTCTAAATTTCAGAGTACCTACAAAAGGGAGATGTGGTAGAGGAAGTGGAAAGTTACATGAACCAGACCTTCAACGGGACTGCTTACAATGACATGACAAACGCCACTCAGCAGATAGTTGACCTTATTCAAGAGAAATTGGAGTGCTGCGGGTAAGGGAATTAAGTTACATTGACTATTTGTCAATCATAGAAATTAAACAAATTAACTACTTCGTGCTGTGCTTCCCTTAACTAACATAATATCAAGAACTAGGTTGAAACCAAGACATTGTAATCTGAAACACTAAATCACCTTCCTCTCCAGGTTGGAAAATTCGACTGACTGGAAGGGAGATCTGCCAGCCTCTTGCTGCTCCAGTGACCCTAACTCTAACTCTACCGAAGTGCTTGTTAAGTGTACCACTGAAACCGCCTACGCAGCTGGGTGCAGGGACGAAGCACTAGCCTTCGCTGATAAAGCTGTCATGTTCACATTTTATATCCTCTGCATAGGATTCTTCTTGGAGATCATGTGTATATTTGCTGCATGCTGGGTAGCCAGGGAGGCTAAAAGGTACTCCAAACTTAGTAGCCAGTAACTCCTAAACTGTTTGATATTGTCTAGTTATTGTGGCCAGTCTGAGTGGTCACGTTATTGGATATTTGGTATTTCTATTATTTACATTTACCCCTCCGTAAACATAGAATGAGCTAAATAGTAATACCCAAGGCCAACGCCCTTCCCCTCGGCTGATGCCGCAATATATAGACTAATATGAAGTGCACTGCTGCGAGGCGGCAGAGTATTTACTGCAGTGAAGCAACCGCCTTTTGCGGAACCGCTGCACTAAAAGTACCTAAATGAGACGATTATTTTAGGATTTTACTTGATTTGCAAAGGGAATTTAGTATTAGGGTTTATTTTAAATTGGGGATGTTTTAAAGCATCATTTAGTTACACTTACCTAAAATGTGTATTATTTCTCAATATCAGGGACCGAAAAGAAATTTCATAAATGACAGGTTTTAACTTAAAGTCAAATACTTCATACAATATCAAATGGAAATAAATAAAAGATATCCGTCGGTGAGCATCAAAATATCGCTACACAGCGACCAGCGAAGTGATAGAAATAAGATGTGAGCTCTAAGTATAAATGTTAAAATAATTAATAAAAGCAGAAAAATAAAGCTTCTCGCCTTATTATTCCTGTCTCTGATCGATGCCGGGAGGGCGAGGAGGTCGATTGGGTGGTCGCTGTCCCATGAAGGGTGGTCGAAATGGAGGTCGAGGACCTCCTCGGAAGTTGCCGTCCGGTCGCGGTCCCCACCCCATGGGAGGTGGTGGCATGCCTCTGGGCGGCATGGGCGGGAAGTTTGAACCTGGCGGCATAGGAGGCATCGGTGGCATGTTATGCGGGGGCCCGGGGCCTCCCTTGTCTCCACTAGGTGGTCCACCAGGAGGTACAGGTGGGAAGGATGGCATCATACCGCTCGGAGGTGGTGGCATCATTCCCATTGGTGGCATCGGTGGCATGCCAGGCCGCATGTTAGGAGCCATCGAAGGCAGATTTGGTGGCATATTAGGCGGCAGCATTCCAGGCATCATGGGCGGTGGCATCGGCATTCCATTCCTTACGGGTTCCTCAGTCTCTTCTGTGGCCGGTTTTTCAGGTGGAGCGTCAGCGAACATAGTATGAGGCTTATCAGCAAGAGACAGAGGGTTCTGAGCACAGAGAATACGCTCTGCTGCTGACCCGTGTCTCTCATTCTTACCATCTTTCTTAAACGCGTAACTAACACTAATCGACCTGTTACACAAATACTGTCCGTTCATCGCCTCGATAGCAGCGTCACTCGCCTCAAAGTTTGCAAAGTTTATAAAAGCGAACCCCTTGGAGTTTCCAGTCTCTGGATCTCTCATAACTTTAGGGGTCTGAAGAATAACACCGAAAGCACTGAAGGTATCGTAGAGAAGTTTCTCGTCTACTTCGGGGTCTAGGTTGCCGATGAACAAGTTCGCCCCGACGTCTAAACTCTTCTGATGGGCACTGGCCTGAGAGAAGGTATTTTAAGTCATAATGTTAAAATCAACTAAAAATTCCTATCCTATAATAAAAGAGAATAGAAGGAAAGTTTGCCATTTGGGGACGGCAAAACGGTTCGATTCCAACTTACCTTATTAACTCTGATAGGTTTTCCGAACATTTTGATCATGTTCATGATTTTGATGCTGTAGTCCGCATCGTCCTCTCCCATAAACTCCACAAAACCGTAACCTTGATGCTGCTGCGTAATACGATCTTTCGGCATATGTACGTTCACTGTGGATACCGTAATTATAATAGGGTAGACGTAAATATTGGGTCACAAATTAATATAATGTTTCCTGATTTCAATTAAGTATAGAAAAACTTCTGAACACAAGAATAAGAGACAAAATAAAAACGGATTAGCTTAGAGCGAGTGAACATGAATGTACAAAACATAGTCTCACCAACTGGTCCAGCCTCAAGAAACAGTTCCCATAGCAAAGTTTCGCTCACTTTCTCATCCAGCCCACCAACGTAGATTGTGGCGTCCTGGTTCCTTTCTGCTATTGGGCCTGCCGCCATGGCTAGTAGAAAGGGATGATTATGATATTATAAGTATTACTTCAACGATAATTATTTCACTTGCATTAGGTTTAGAAATTTATTCTCTGGTTAACAGATTTCAAATGTTTAATTGATTTGTAGTATGACAGTAAGGTATATAAGAAGTTATTTAATTTTGCTTGGGCTATTATATTGACTATTGAGGTTTAATGATGATATGGAATTTGAATTCTATATAAATTTACACTATGTGGTTGGGGCATTTTGCATAGTAAATATGGTTACTACTCCTATATATCATATTATTTGATTGGTATTCGATTTCTGAAATTATTTCTCTAGGAATATGATTATTATATCTCAATTTGGCTTTAGGTAGGGTGCCCCGCTAAAAGAACTGGATTCTTCCAGGAAGCATCCCGTGCACAGACCTTGGTCTACATATATAATATTAAATTATTAACCATTCATTCTGTATGTGCACGAAAATTTATTTCAATCAATCGTGATATGAACAACCAAGTTCAAATTTGCTATTAGATAGCGATTCATTAGAAATTTTGATTAAACGTTTTAATCCGCTGAAAATTATTGAAGCAATGAGTGGTCGAAACTCGAATGTAAAACCCAATAAAGTCTGGTAATTTATCAAGATCAGAACAAATTTATTAAACACTACAGTCGAAGAACTGTAACTGACTCTGTTTGAAAACTAAGTATCAAGTTCAAAACACTAAATCAAAGTATCAATTACGTCAATCTCTTCCAGAATTTTATCTCTTCCTAGGAAAAAGTCTGATAAATATCACCATTACAATAAATATCACCATGACAACGAATATCAGAGTCCAAACCCAGCACTTGCCACTGCTCTGGTTAAACTTTTCCAACTGAGCCGTCTCTTTACCAAGTTTAGCTGTGTTTCTATCCACAACGTCCTGTACACCGGATAAGTTCTGGTTATCTTGTTGTATGATGTCACGTGCTGCCACCGAGACTTGTTTTAGGTTCTGAGTCATCTTTAGCATTTGATCAGCTAGCTTTGATTGTCGCTGAAAATAGTAGAGGGGTTATTTTGAAAATAGTAGAGGGGTTATTTTGAATTCGCTTTAATTGACGCGTGTTCAAATGTAATTCAAAATTCAACGGACAGAAATGAGCAAGGTGAATGATGATTTTACTAGCTGAACCGATATATTATATCTGACCAAATGACCAATGCAATCTCCCACGCTTCAAGTTTTTTCTAACAGGTATATGGATTTAAGAGGGGATCGGGAGTTGTGATATCAAACTTAAAAGTTCAAAGTAAGGAAAACTGCCTCAAAGTGATCACGTTTTGTTTACTTCAGTCGGTCGAATCCTAATGTACATTTGTTCATAAGCGTTGAGTCAAGTATCTTTTTGTATCCACGCAGCAAGGTATTTACACAGACAATTTCCATTAATGTGCGTGTTTAAGACATAATGATAGAAATAGAGTATTATTGTGCAAAATATGTAGCTAAGCTGCGCGCGCGTATTTAAAAAAAACAGAAGTTTATTTTCATCGCAATCTATGCTTCGCGCCCTACGTTTAATACTGTCTTATAGCGTGACTGCCAATTTCGTCGAACCAAGTGATGAGACAAAGATAGTGACAAATCTGTGACCTCAGCATGGCAATGAAAGCCGAAAGGGAAACCTTTTGTTGTTAAATGTTTACATGCAATTGCATCATACCTCTTTGTGCTGCTTCACAACCTCAGAAACATCTTTTTCTGGTACATATTCTTCTCTAAAAGAAGTAGAAAGCGAAGTCTCAGCAGCAAATCCTGGGACCACTAATTTTTCAGGCGTTTTCAACCGTTGTTGTTCCTCCCTGAATAGAATATGTCAGAATCTCTTGATAGCAGGTCAGGACTTAATACGAAAAACAAGCATTTAAGTTTTGATAATGAATTTTTAAAATGTAAAAACCTACACTTTAGTACGACGGCGATGGATTAACTCCGAGATTTGGGACGGTCGCTCAACTTTCGGCTGGGATATATCAGCCATGACTTGTTCGAGTTCTTTCATAGACTTCTCGTAACTTACACGATCGTCAGCTGTCAATCCTGGCGTTTCTTCTGAAACACAGCTGTTTACAGCGCAGACCTTTAGCAAGGGTATAGGGTTTATTGAATTACTTTAGAATTATTCAACAGGCCACCTTAAAATTGATTGAATTTCAGCCTTATACACACGAAGAGAATATAATGTGTTAAATATGTTATTATATTTAATATATTCATTACTTAACCTCAAGACATGGTTATTATAACTCACTGAGCTGCAAGTGTAGTTTCTTCAGATGCTCATAATAATGTGGCTTTCTCCAACTACCATCCTCCAGCGCGCGGGTTCTCTCCAACAGTTGCACAAACTGCACCTCATTACGTGTCCTTACCGTCAGACCCATCTTCCTGGGCGTCCGGGGTGAAGTCTGGTATTTCTAGTCCTTTCTCTGCTAGCGCTTTCTGAGGAATATGTATTCTTCAGAACTAACCATACTAGGCGTGGGGTCAGCCCAAATATCGACTAATATCGACCGGTAGATATTAGTTGCCCATGGGCCTGACCCCACGCCTTATACTTACTCAGCACTGAAAATATTAACTATATTGATGTGTCGGGTTACCCAGTCCGGATCTGATTTCTGAAGGGGCGTCGACACTCGACAGTCACTTGACTCCTATCTTACATATCTTTGAAATCCTAACCTTGACACAAGCCTGGTAGTTCTTAAAGAGGTCGTCACACTCGTCACTGGGAATTCCTTTGAGGAACTTCTCGCTGTACCACGAGTTAAAGCAGGCGTCGTAATCGTGCTTTAGAGGAGTGCACTCATCTGATACGCTGTTCATAGCACGTGACACACTGTAACATTACAATTGCTAAGGTGGATAACGTTACCTGTATGTCAAATAATCATTGCTTTATGCTGTTTTTCTATTTATAGAACAGATTGTTAACAGATATTTAGTTTTTTATTGTGGTTTTATTTTTCTTTCAATGAGTAATTTTGTGTATTGTTTGACTGATTTTTTGTTGTTGTAGAAAAGCTGTATAGTAGAAAATGGACAACAGTAATATTTAAATATTGTAAAATGTCGAAGTAAAAATAGAATCAAATTTTGTATTTAGAAAAAATACAAGAGAAAAGGGATATAATAAGTTAACACCCGAAATGTTTAAATATTTAAACTGTGGGTCACATCAAATATTACAAACAAGCCAACGAGGCAACTTTATACAACGATATTTCATGAAACTCAATTTTATCAACATCCAAAAGCGGATTATAACTAGCGAGACACAATTATATTATCGACCAATAAAAACAGCCAACTGTGATATGAGGCCTAATTTATATTTTAAATGAAAACCTGGTCACTATATCACGCCACAGCTGACGACTCCATTTTCTTCTGCAAAGCTGCGAACAAAGCTTTAACATTTCCAGTACCAAAACCCCTGGACCCCCTACGCTCTATGATCTCTAGGAACATCCCATCTTTTTCTAAAACACTTTCAGTAAAAACTTGCAGCAAGTAACCATCATCGTCCTTATCAACAATTATACTGTTCTCAAAAGCAAGTTTTGGATCAATATTTAAGTCTTGAAACTGAGCGAGTTTTTCTTCTAAAGTGTAATAAGAAAATGGCTGTTCAATGACCCTCACACCTTTTTCCCTCAGTTCGCGAACTGTTTTGAAAATGTCAGAAGATTTTAACCCAATATGTTGGACCCCTCCACCACTATTCGCAGTTAAAAATCTTTCAATCTGGTTGTACCCAAGAGTGTTTTGAGTGATTGGTTCAGAAAACGCAAATATAGGTAGACCACTCTCCCGGCCGCAGTTAACAAACATTTCCATGCCTGACCCATTTACAACAACTTTCATTGTGCCTGACTCTGAACCTGCCAACTTATAAGGATCTACATTCATCAGTTCAGCGTACCATTGAGCATGAAGTTTTGCTGTCTTCCGGTCACAACAAAACAAGAAGTGATCCATGTCACGTGACATTAAAGTCTCATTTTGTGTTTCTATACACTCCTGATACACACGATGACTTAGATTAGCAAAAGGAGATAAGATGTCAATAAACGGCACCCCAGGGTGATAAGCACAGTTTTCTCTTATCTCTGATGATTTGGTTTTCAGGTTGGTGACACTGTTTTTAAACGAAAGGAGATTGGGGCAGGTAAATGCGACGTTTGTGACACGGCTGACATCGGTGGGGTTATTTTTGAGGAAGATTTTGATGTTGTTAGATTTGAGCAGACAAGAATCCTTCTCCTCGTGAACAAGAGAAAAGGAGAAGTTTGAGGTGAAGATTTGTTTGGCTTTGGAGAAGTTCCTGCAGCCGATCTCAATGTGTTTCAGCAGCATGGTCACGTCCGTTTTATTGGAATGTGTGGAATGTGGTTGTAGTAGCCTTGTTATCAGTACTGTTACTTTTTATCAGTTATATTCTTTCCTCATAGTCACTCACCACCTTCAAAATATAATGTGTGGTTGAATTTTGTAAACGCTTGCTGTGCAACGTTAATATATATAATATGATATAAAAACTTCAATACTAAATAATTACATAATAACCACGTAATTTATAAATTTTTAAATTTCCAGGCGATTTTGAATGTCTGATGAATCTGAGAAATAATTATGAAATGAAATTTGGATTATTCAGTTTATTTACTAAAACAAGAGTTTGCTTTAGACAAAGTGAAACAAGTGAAGTAAGTGTGCCAATGAAATTATTAATAAACAATAAACATACTAAACAGATACCTGATACACATACATAAGATATTTCCAAAGTGAAACAACGCGATCGGGTTAACACACTAAAAGTTTCATGTCGAAGCAATCGTCAGTGTTTCAGAACGACTGCTTTAGTAAGAAACCTTCAGTTTATTAACCCGTTGTTACACTTTGTATCCAGCTTCCTCTGCGCCGGGTCGAGCACTTTAGTCACTGGATAAATCAAACCAAACATCATGTATAATACGTATACTTATATGGGTACACGATAAACAAACACATTACACACCAATATAAAATCTGAGTTCGGAAAAGAATTAACACGAATTGTATTTTCTGAGGAAAGATCTTGCAAACGAATATTTTCGTTTAAGACTAAGTAGAATAATAAAACTTATCTGCGATGAGAAAATTTTGGGAAAGTGGAAAAGGAACGCTTATCAACGGCTGACAAACTTAATTCAGTTTACAGAAAAAATAATTGAGACTGTGAAGGATCGGAAGAATCAGGTCAAGGGAGATTTATTTAGATAAGGCTGGTAATTGGTTGCAGTAACGCAATAGCGCAAATAAAATTAATCAAAATAATGTTAAAATACAGCCAAAAACAGCCTTTTAAGAATTGTAAAATGGTTTGTTAAAGGGTTGTTCACATATTATGTAAGCCAGCCTAGGCAGGAGGAGTGGGTTTGGGTGTGGCTACGCTAGTTCCAACACAATAGCTATCTGTTAAATAGCATACGGAGGGAGTGGGTATAAAATGGCCAAAATCTGGTTTACGTAATTTATGTGAACGATATTTTCCGAATGAGTTTATAAATTAAATAACATACACCAAATATTACCTCATATTGTACAGATAAGTATGAAATTTATATTCTACAAAATAATTTTAAACCTGCAAAAGGGGTATCAATGGGTCGCTGTGTTATTGTTTTGTAAAAGTAAAAAAGCATGCTGTTTATAAAATGATATAGATAACCACTAACTCTATCAGCTATGTACTGTATATCCCTACCAACTGTTTTCTAGCCAAATATTTAATCTACAATATTGTTTTTATTTCCAAGCTTTATGATCTTCTTCTTCTTTTAATAGGGTTTCCACATTTTGTCAACCCGTATAAAAATCTCTCCAGGATCACTGACCACACCATCGCCTCCAAGAGTCACTTGTTTACAGTCACAGTTCGCGAACGAGCAAAATTGATCTATTTCCATGAGTTGGGTAAGGAAACGTCCGTGAGATACGACAGCTATTCTGGTCTCCGGTCTGGAATTCAGAAATTCCTTGAATTCTTCCACGCGCTGTTCTAACTGAAAAGGTTTCAGTATAAGATATATATCTGATTACATACTTTATAATATGTACGGTACCTGGTCAAAGTGTGATTATTTTTAATTAAATAACAATGATCAGAGGTAAAACCAAGATGGAACAATTTCAAATATTCTCGCTGTCTCAAAATATCTGTGTAAGTTATGATGACAGCTAGAAAGACAGGAATTAAGATGAGTATAACATTAAGATGACAGTTAAGATGAGTATAACATTAAGATGGCAAGTACATTATGAAGGTGACAGATGAACTTTAAACTCTTGTCTGCAGATTGTGTGAGTATCTTGAAGTGTTCTCTTGGCCCGGCAGCTGAGCTTCCTGAGAATTACCACAGCTGTACATTCTACTTTATGATAAGCACCATATAATTATAGAGATCACCCAAGATTGATTATAATTTAAAAATTAACAAGACTTCTAATTTTCTCACCGGAGAAGGAGGCATTATAACAGGACGAAAAGCTGGCCTGGTCGGACAAAGTCTACTTCGAATAAAGTTTTGAAAACTGGGCACAGTAAGACTGTAAACAAAAAAGTTGGAAGCAACGTTGAGATACATGCAGCTTTTAGCTACCCGAGAGAAATATAGACCGCCTGCGCTTTCCCCCACGAATAGCAGCATCAACATGTTCAGACCATCTGGTAAAAAAGAGACACAGTACACAGTAGCTGTAAGGACAACAGTGGCAACGCCTTGCCAACGAACCTTGCTACGGGATTGCCTTGATACTCTTCTTGCATCGTGCAAGTGCTTCACCAAAATGATTGATACTAGAATCATCACAAAGGTCGGAAACAATACATACACTGCATAAATGGTCGGGATAAGCCAAACCCAAGTTTTGGAACTGAATTTATAAGAACACTTGTACCAATTACCATTTACATATACATCGTCTGAGTCTACCAGAAGGAGAATACAAACGGAACTGAAACTAAAAACCCATAGACCTGCGCAGAGAATATGGGCTTGATTTATTGACCACGATCGAGTTTTCATGGGGTACTTGAGTATCAGCCACTTGCCAACAATCATTGTACAAATTAGAATTATTGAGGCACAAGTTGCATAGGCGTCTATGTATGTGGTAATCCAGCACAGTACATTCCCGAAGACCCAAATATTTGCAATCAATGTGACAATTTGAGGAAGTATCACAGTAGTTGATATTATCAGATCACACATAGCAACGTGTTGAATGAACACCACAATGACTTTGTTCAGTTTAAAGGCCCGGTACTTGATTGAGGCTACAAGAATGGCTGTGTCCCCCAAAAGTGACGTCAGAAACATTAAGATCAGCCATCCAGCCCAAATAAAACGCTCAACATCATTTCTGATAACTCCGTTCTGGGTATCGTTTAAGATGTTGTCATGTAACATCTTGAGACGATCACTTTGGATTTAAAGCATTTAAAAATTTTAAAAGTACATATTGATTAAAATTTTTCGTTGTAAATCGTTGACGTTTTCAAAAATGCCTGTAAAATCTCCACAAAAGAGCAACTGATAAGAGATATGGTTAAACTATTCTGACTCTGATCTACAGCCTGATGTAAGTTATCTCACAGCATATTGGTATGATGATTGATGATGTGATTCTTCTAAAGCCGTGACTTGTAAGAGTGCAATCGTCACTTTGGGATCATTGGTATATTTATCTACTCACCAAAGAAATTTGGTGCCCTTTTACCAAAATTTATACCATGATCTGCATTTGCAAGATGGAATCATTGCTATACATTCATAAAGCTATACTTTTCAGAGTATTTCACCGAGAATTTACTAAGATTCAAGCCGTATTCAAGGTTGATGCTAGTCCGAGTATGAGTTCGTAATTGATGGTTCGTACTCCAGTTTTATGAATACCAAATCTGAGACTCATGAAAACTTAAGCATTTACTTGTCATTAATAACTTAAGTATTTACTTGTCACTAATTACTAAACAAATGCTTAGTTACGGGTGAAAGACATGACCAGAAATTGTTCCATATTTAAAAGTAATGTAAAAATGTATAAGAAATCGCTAACAATCCGTAAGTAAGATAAAACTAACATGTTCCTGTGACTCCTCCTCCGTCCACCATTCCTCTGACTCGACATGTGTAAAGTCGTGGTGAGGGAAGTCACGTGTCAGAACAGTTTTACTGCTCCCGTAATCACATCCTCCGTGTCCCATCTCTACAGAGTGGAATCAGTGTAATTTATTGCAGTTAATATATTGTTATGCAAATTAATAAAACTTGAAAATGGAAATATTCTTGGTTCTTCGACAAAATTCATTACATTTATAACTTGAAAATCTAGATTTTTACTTGAAAATCATTAGCGAACAAAGTAATTGAAATGTTGAAAGGATAAGTTACCAGTAGGGATAGGAGACACAAGTACAGGATACGGAGGCAGTTTACCGAACACGTGGTCAGTTGTCAACAGAGCTCGTCTCATTGGAGACGTTATTATCAGCTCTAGATCAAACTTACTCCTGTCCAAGTATAAAAAGAAGTTATATCTTTTAATTGTTAATAGTACTATGTTAACAGTATGCATTGAAGGGGTATCCTAGGAAGTTTCTTGAACTTCTAACAGGTAAGCCTCCTCATTTAACCCTCAATTTCCTATCATTCGGCTGAGTCGACCGAGGAGATCGCATAGATCCAATGGATCCTTAGCTACTCCCTATACTAGGTGACACTGGGATTTAAAAAGTAGGATATTATGAAGATTAATGGCTATTACTTAGTGGAGTTTATATTATATAAAACATATATCTCTCAAAGATAATACTCCATGAATTATTCTAAAAATCAATATTTCCGGATTTCCCGCAATCAGACAACGAATGAGTGTTAATATTCCATTTATAGATATATAATATGTATAACATTGTTTCTAAAAAGGACAATGAAATGATGAGGTTTAACATACTAACTCCAGGAGCTGTTTCTTAAGTTGTATGCCGAGGTTGGTTGCTTGTTTAACCCCCACCTCGTTCAGGGCCGGATCCCGCAGCGCTAGCCCCTCCTCCATCCTGTTCTCGTAAAACAACTTGTTGTGATCTCCCTGACCGTGTCTTATTAGCAGGACATCTTTCTTTATCTTACTCATCACGGATAATTTACCTGCTGTTGTTTTTAGTTATTGATTTGGGTGTTGTTATCGTTTGGTCTTCGTTTATTTAAACCAGGTTAAATCAAGAGGAAGTGCTTAAAACGTGATTTTGAGGCAGTTTCATAAATCAGAATAAACTTAATTTAAATTGTTGGAAATATCCTAAAAAAGCTTTCAGATAAAAGGACTAGCTCTTCCAAACTTTCAATGAAATGCAAGTTTTCAAGAACTATTAAGGGGACATATACAAAAAGCTTTTATGTCCCGAACAGGCTGTAACTTCATATTAAGAAAGTATACATTAAAACAATAAGATTTGATACATTCAAAATTATTTTTGAGGAACCGCACTTTCGAAAAAATAAATATTTTCTTTTCCGAAAGTTTTGAAAATTTTGAGAAGTCTGTCACTGTTATACCGATATTTCAGTCGTTTTTAACTTTTTTTGGCTGATTTTTTAACTGAACATTATTTACAATCCGTACAAGAAGCCCATCAAAGGATTTTATAATTAAAATATAGATGACGAAGTTACAAACCAAACAAGGTCGAGAGAAGCAAAATTGAAATTTTTGTAAAAATCAAAGTTGTATATTTTACCATTCACCCAGGTCATGAGATATCGCTTTAAAAATTCTTGTGAGTGTAGCTGATGATCATATCAAACTTTTTGGAACAGGATTTCTCTCAGTTTTGAGTTTTAAGGTATGAAATGTGGCCTCAAACGACTTAGTAAAATTCATCGTAAAAAAGGGCCAAACATGGCAGATTTAAGGCTTAAAATGCCTATAACTCAAACAGTATCCGTTTTTTTAAAATATTTTTTACAGAATCGTAATCAGCTTGAGAAGACGAATCTTTTAGTACCAAATAGATGATTTTAGAAGACAAATTGTCTTAAATAATTTTCCAGCTCGAACACAAGGGTCCCCGGCCCCCTTGTATAAATTTTGTACAAATTGTACCCTTTTTTTTATAAATTTGGTGTCTTTAACTATTATAAATTTGGTACTAAAAGATTTGTCTTACCAAGCTGATTACGATCCTGTAAAAATTATTTCAAAAAAACTGATACTTTTTGAGTTATAGGCATTTTAAGCCTTAAATCTGCCATGTTTGGCCCTTTTTTACGATGAATTTTACTAAGTCGTTTAGGCCACATTTCATACCTTAAAACTCAAAACTGAGAGAAATCCTGTTTCATAAAGTTGGATATGATTATCAGCTACACTCACAAGAATTTTTAAAGCGATATCTTATGACCTGGGTGAATGGTAAAATATACAACTTTGATTTTTACAAAAATTTCAATTTTGCTTCTCTCGACCTTGTTTGGTTTGTAACTTCTTCATCTATATTTTAATTATAAAATCCTTTAATGGGCTTCTTGTACGGATTGTAAATAATGTTCAGTTAAAAAATCAGCCAAAAAAGTTAAAAACGACTGAAATATCGGTATAACACTGACAGACTTCTCAAAATTTTCAAAACTTTCGAAAAAGAAAATATTTATTTTTTCGAAAGTGCGGTTCCTCAAAAATAATTTTTAATGTATCAAATCTTATTGTTTTAATGTATACTTTCTTAATATGAAGTTACAGCCTGTTCGGGACATAAAGCTTTTTGTATATGTCCCCTTAAGTTATGAAATGCTGGACCAGTTAAAGCAATAAACAAGAAAACTCGGCGAAATCCGCATTTAAAGAATAAAACTTGATACTTACATCATAATATAATATACATTATTCAAGTTTTATTTTTTATGCGGATTGTTTTGACTGAATTTGGTAGTTGGTGTACGGCTGTGTATAATATACCCCAACATTTACCCTCGAGACCTAAAACAGGTTATCTCAACCGACCCGGTTCATCGAAGTCAAAACGCTTTTAAAGAACTTGGTCACTGTCTTAATTATATTTCTTTACTATGAAAACCATTATGGTTCGCACTACAAGGAGGTACAAGACCTCAATACAATAAACTCTCAAATAGAATAAAGTTACATTTAGTATATCGATCATAACTTAAACTTTTAAAGAAGGTTAAACAAGTCTATACAAAGATACAATAAGGCGAAATTTATCAAAAATATGCATTAGTACAGTCAAATCCGTCTTTTTGTCGGACAAAATTCGCAACAAAGCGATTTTAACGGGATATGGTCGGGACAGGTCCCAGGATTCATTCCAGAGAGTTCCCAAAATCCTCGACTTCAGGAAAATCCACAGTTACCACTTTTTTACCACCTTTTTACCACTTTGGTTTTCCGCAAATAAGTCACGTTCTGAATATCCTAGAAGATTCTAGTTTAAAGCATTGTGTTAAGAAAACAAAGAAGAACAACTTTTTCTTTAACAACGTTTTCAAAAATAAATTATTTATTTAATTAATTAAATAATTAATAAATTTTAAAATATTTCAAAAATACATTTTCATGAAAAATGTTCACAATTACATTCCACGAATATTGAACTAATTTCTATGAAAATTTTGAAAATTTTCACTAACAATATTTTGAACTTGTAAAATTTACGAAATTTGAGAAGAAAAACCACTATTTACCACTTTTTACCACATTGAATCTCCGCTAAAAAAACGACTTCTGAATATCGTAGAAGGTTCTAGATTGAACCAATGTGTTCAAAATATAAAGAGAATCTGAAAAAAGTTTTATCTGACAACCTTTGGATTAGATAATTAATTAATTAGTTAATTCGATTATTAAACAAATATCCAAAAATTATAAAAATTATTTTTGATCAAAATATTTTAAAATTACATATCACGAATAATTAACAAATTTCCATTAAATTAATCGGGAAATCGAAGTAGTACTTTATATAACCATATATATACTAGATAACAGTCTAACTTATGAGTCCTCAGCTGGCACATTGCTGCAATTGTCCTGACATTTGAGGCAGGTTGATCCACAATGTATTCCTGCTTTTCTGCATGAACAAGCATTGCCACAACCTGACTTTAAACATTTGCAACTGATTTTTTGAATGAGCTTTTTCGGAGCTGTACTCATAAGAGTGGTCACTGGTACATGTGTCCCATTGTTCATCTTCCATCCCAGCTTATCGGATCTAGGTCATTCTCATCCCACACCTGCTGCTGATGGTAAACACGATAAGAATGTTGGCGGGAGCTGTTCGCACTTGATGTCTGCTGTTGAAGATTGCGACTTCTGTTCAAGAACTGAAAGTCTTGCTTCATCTAGTGATCTCGATTTTTATGAAATCAGCTATTCTTAACCAATACAATGTTTTAATTTACCAGGCAAATGAGGAGTTAGTTTCGGTGAATAGCTTTAAGAGGGCGAATGATCGACAATGTAAATTTGCATGGAATGAAATATGGAAAGGGTTGCTGTCCTCAGGTACTATTTAAACTATTTATCTTTTAAGTAAGTGCACTAACTTTTAAACTATGCCCAGCAAATTTGAAACGGATACGTACAGTCCTATTCTTTATCCTGACGCCTCTCATACCTTGTATAAATAAAGAAATCAACGCACCACAGGTTGGATCAACAACCCCTGGTCACTGAACGAAATTAAACGGCAGTACAACGGCATGACTGATTCAGCTCTGAGTGACGTCTTGTGTGTATTATTGCAGACAGTGACCATAGACCAGTTCCAAAGATTCATATCTAGCCTAGCGGTTAGAGCATCCGCCTTCTGCGCAGAGGTTCAGGGTTCGAATCCCAGTGTCACCTAGTCTAGGGAGTAGCTAAGGATCCATTGGATCTAAGGGATCTCAACGGTCGACTCAACCGAATGATAGGAAACTTAATTGAGGTTTAAATGAGGCGGGGCACCTGTTAAAAGTTCAAGCAACTAGGATACCCCTTCAGTGCATACTGTAAACATAGTGCTGTTAACTATTATATCGGCCAATGAAGAGGAGTTCGTTGTAACTGAGACAGGACCATCTTTAGTCCGCGAACACAGTTTAAACAAATGTCCATTCTGTAACGTAGAGATCGCACTAAATGATAAATCCTCAAACCGGATTACAGACAGGGTAAATTATTGTGCGGGGGAGGGGGGAGGTGGTATAGTACACATACGTTAGGCTCTTACTAAGTTCCTAATTCGCTCGCCCAAAAATTTCTCGTGACTTTCTCCGTAGCTTAGTGCACTAGATTCCCACTATCGGAATCGTTCTGAATAGCCGATCCTTACCAACTCCGTGGATCCGACTGGTGGTGTCTGATCCAGTGAAAGCGTGGCACAGAAATCGTGCAGAAAGCCCAATTACGGTATCCTAGCACCCTGTCACGTGATAAGCAATTAGGTAATCATTGATAACCCAATCAATTTCGCTAACGAGATAAACAAATTGCTTGATAACTTCGTCATTTTCAATCCGTTTCGCACATCGTTTTGCAGATGTTTTGATTTGCAGAGAGGCAGTTCTGTGGTCTAATCCAGTTGATGTTTCTGTAAGTCGAGAGATATGATGTGTAAATATTTATAAATAAGCTATAATAGTATCGTACAAATTTTGATATTTTACCGTTTATTCCATTTATCTGAATTTTTTAAATCTGTTATCTAATCTATGTGACGGTGTATGTTCTATTATTCAAGTAAATTCATTTTACGTCACGGCAAATATTTTTGATAAAAAGTATATTTTGAAATTTTTAAAAATTTAATTATTATTTAATTAATAAATCAATTAATTATCTAATCCAAAGGTTGTCAGATAAAAAGTTGTTCTCTTTTATATTTTGAACACATTGGTTCAATCTAGAACCTTCGACGACATTCAGAAGTCGTTTTATTAGCGGAGATTCAATGTGGTAAAAAGTGATAAATAGTGGTTATTCTTTACGAATTTCGAAAATTTTACAAGTCCAAAATATTGAAAGTGAAAATTTTTATAAAAATTAGTTCATTGCACGTGGAATGTAATTGTGAACATTTTTTATGAAAATATATTTTTGAAATATTTGAAATTTTATTAATTATTTAATTTATTAATTAAATAATTTATTTTTGAAAAAGTTGTTAAAGGAAAAGTTGTTCTTCTTTGTTTTCTAAACACAATGCTTTAAACTAGAATCTTCTAGGATATTCAGAACGTGACTTATTTGCAGAAAACCAAAGTGGTAAAAAGGTGGTAAAAAAGTGGTAATTGTGGATTTTCCTGAAGTCGAGGATTTTGGGAACTCTCTGGAATGATTCCTGGGACCTGTCCCGACCATATCCCGTTAAAATCGCTTTGTTGCGAATTTTGTCCGACAAAGGCTTAAATTAGGACGGATTTGACTGTACTACATATCAGAATTCGTAAAAATTATATCACTTTATGCTACAAGTAGCCCCGGACCTTAAAATAATGATGATTATGCCTAGAATCTAAAAAGCTAAAATCAGATTTCCCCAAACGATACATTTACTAATATCCAATGTATTTAATTATAAAATTTTAAAACACCTCAGTTCATGGTGAAAATTATATGGCCACAAAATCCTTGAGGCCGGAAGTGCTCATTGACAACTTGTCCAAAATTTCGTACCCAGACTTTCAACCATACATTTTACAAAACCCGAATCCCTTCTACAACATTTTTACCCTTAGGGATCGTTCACATATTACGTAATCAGTCGAGGGTGGAAGGGGGGGTTTCCAAATGATAACGCTAGTGTAATTTTGACACAATAGCTATGTGTAAAACTGATTACGGAGAGGGGTAATCAATTTGCCAAAAATTGATTACGTTATATGTGAACGACCCGTTAATAAAACCTCAGCATCAACAGAAAATCTGGGAAACGAAATTTTGGGCACACTCGGGTCGCGGGTTTAAAATGTCAATGAGCTTCCCGGACCCGCCTCAAGCATGACATGAAATCTGAATATATCACTTTTCGAGGGTCAGCAGGAGACTTCAGTAAGAAGATATTGCAGCCATAAAATTTCCTGAATCATGAAATGAATTATTACAAAAGGTTGTGGTGGCGGTATTAAAAAACAAATAACAAAGACATATAATAATTATTTACATAAAACTTCCATTCAGGTCAGCTGATTTCATCCTATTCTCTTTACTTAGCAAATGTTTCGTGAACCAATCCGGCAGAAAGTGACCTTCATGATCGTTTTTCCTGAACTCGATGGCGTGTCTTTCTGCACCACAATATTGAAGAGTGCCAGAACAGCCCTCGTCAACATGCTGGTTCAACCAATTCAGAACCCCACTGATCAGACCAAACATGGCACCTCCGTCCCAATCTGCTTTTAGGGGCACTTCCTTTACATTGTACTCCTCCATTGAGTGGACTAAACCTTCGTTATCTCGGAAACCGAATATCAAGGTTTTCACACCAGCAAGGTAGGATTGAAGCCAACCGAAGGAAGTCTTGTTTTTCACCTGTCGTTTGACGCAAGTTTTAATCTCGATGAGCTCGGTAGCATTGTCGGAGGAGTAATAGCGACACCGGTTGAGAAGTTTGCAGTGCTCAACCGAGCAGTCAGCACACCCTTGTAGAACTTTCTCGATCACAACATCGTCAGATTCCTCACGTTCCTGAACTCTAACAGCGTCCACCTCGGCTCCCAGCAGCACTTTGTATCTCCCGACATTGCTACGAACCATCCGGTAACTCCCGCTCATCTGCTCCTTTGATGACGTCACTGTATCCTCGAACTTCTTACCCCAGTACATGTACTTCCTGCACTGTGGATCCTTCTTTACGATGGACTTACACCGATCTTCTGGTGTGGGTTCATACATGTAGATCTTCCCGTTGTATTTACACACCTTGAACAGCCACGGAGTTTTGTAAAAATCGTATAAAGTGTGTCCAATGTATTTCAGAATACCACGTCTTGCAACAAAATCAACTGAGCTCAAATCGAAATCAGAGATGGTGATCCATTTCAAGAATCTCTGCCATAAAGGCAGAGAGCTGGCCAATCTGTTGCTGTCCATACCTTTCCTCTCATAATACTCCTCTAACCCCTCATTCAGATCGATGGGAAGGTTGATGTTAGATTCGAACCGGGGGAACATATCTGAACTACATGGTAGAACATTCCGTTCAATATCGGTTTGGAAACACCCAACCTCGTGAGGTTCGTAGCTGGTATAAGGGTAGCTGGAATATACTTTAGGGGATTTTATCCGGTAGTGGTTGACACCAGGATGACGTTCGTCTCGAGGAGGATTGGGCTGATGTTTCGCCTTCCCTCTTCGTTTCGCCATCCGGACGCGGAGCTAATACTGAAATTATCGGTTAGCTTTTCTTTTTTGAGTGTTTGTTCAAGCAAATGTTTGCAGGAAACTTTTAAAACAAATACGGGGAGAGGGGCCGGTGAGGGTGTCATCGTCATTTGGAATTTTTCGAATTTAGTTCTAAATGATGAATTGATAACCTTGATGGCGAAATTTCTATAATGGCAGAGAAATGTTTTGCCATTTTCGGATGGTAAAGGTTTAAATTTTCGAATTAAAGGTGAATGGTGATGACACCCCGCACATTTTGTTAATATAGTTTGCAACTTAAAGATTTGCAGTAGGATAGCACAAGCACGTACCACGTATTACGTGATATGTGCGAGGCAGCCTGGCATTGGCTTCTTAATTTTATAATTACACAATATCTTAGTTATTAAGGCATAGATAATGAATAAATTCAACGAGAACTTGATGTGCTCGATCACCAGTCTCCATGACTAAAATTAGAAGATTATCCTATTTTAAAAGATGCCATTAAACATCTGTCATGCAAACTTTGGAAATAAATTTATAATATTTGACTCTATCTAGAATAATCAGATTCAAAATCATATGGCTGCTATGATTGAGTTGATAAACATAAATATCTGATAGAAATTATTGCATTAATACAAAGTTTCAATCCGCATGACAGAATGAGAGAGAAAAAAGAAAATCGCAAATGTTGATCTGAAAAATAAATGAAAGAGCGACAGGCTGATTGAATAAATGTAAGACGCAAGTGCACACCAACCAAGCTACTCTATGTATCATAAAACAATGAAATTCAATAACGAAGTTACAGCTTGGTGATGATTGAATATTTTAAAATACACGTCATTTTAACACTTTAAAACTGGCGGGGCGGTGCTACATTATCTGCAGAGTAAAAAGCATTGCGAACATTCTGCTGTACATTCGAAATTATATTATATATTTAAAACTTATCTCTGAATATGATGAAAAGTAAATCAGATCTACCTCATAAACCTCACCACTGCTCCTCCGCCGCCTCCCACACTACATCATCAATATTCACCTCACCCAGACCATCGTCACTGAGATCAGACTCAGATGGCTCAGGTGAGTTTGGAACATTGCACACCACGATACTCATCCCATCCTCCATCACCTCCAGTTCACTGCACGCACGCGCCAGCCCCGCTATGTGCTCGTCCGACACACGATACTGATCCACACTGGGAAAGGTTTGAAGGTGAGCTATGGAGATGACTGATATCTCATCTCCCTCTAAATGATACTGGTCCATACCTAACCGTCTACACGTGTAAATCAGCTCGTTGGTCAGGTGGAAGTCAGGTGTGTGGGACTTGTCCGCTACAGGGTAATCTACTGAACTGATAACTTCGTACAGGTGGCTGGTGTTGGTCTCTGTGGATGAAGCTAGTTTTATAGCGAGTCTGGTGAATATGGCGCCCTGTGAGCAGTGCCCGACTGATATATTCTCTAAAGGTGGGTCTCCCACCCCGAATAGTTTATAGGTGTAATCATACTGAGATTGAACTCCATCACAATAAGCCAAAAACTCGTCCCGGGTCCACTCAAACTTGTGGTCCCAGTGTCGCATCTGACCAGGTTCAAACTCGAACAAAACATTAAAATCTGAGTTTGGAGTTGTGATGACCGCGTGTTTGGGTTTCAAACTGCCAAATAAATTATCTGAAAATGCGTTCACATCTTCTGCTTGTAGGTGTTCTATGAGTTCAATCGCACAAATACAATCCAAGTCGTGTAACCTGGAGTCGAATTCCAACACACTGCCACATAAAACTGAAATGTTCAATGGTTCGGCTCGTTTATTAAGATGATCGAACATGAGGGGTTTACAGCGGTGTTTGTGACAATTCAGCAAGCCCCGGTCAATGTCCACGGCAAATATCTGGTTAACGAAATCTAAATTCCTGAGATACTGAACGAAGGTGAGTTCTGCGGTGCCAAAGTCTGCAATGTTCCGAAACTGGCCCCTTTTACAGTGCTCAACGACCTGTGTTGGATCACGTGGTTAGTTTGCGTTTAACTCATTGGTACGTGGTTTTCTACTCATATGTAATTATGTATATGTACATAATATGAGAAGAAAATCAGGAGAGGTGCCAGCTCTTTACACCACGTAAAATATCCCGGGTGAAAGGTGACAACTAAACTTTAATAAGTTCAAAATTAATATCACATACATACGGAATACGGATGGGCCCCATACTAATCATGCTTACCAAAAGTTTGAATAATCTCAGCTTAACAAAATGTGGCTTACCGCAGCATATCTCTGAATGTAGAGAGGAGGTTCGAACTTGACGGAGTCACTGGACTCAACCTCCTGCTGCCCTTTTAACCGACAAGTTTTAATGTCTCTGAGAATGGGGTTTTTTCTTCCAGCCTGGTATTCGTCTTCATCCTCAGCATCTTTAAATCTGGGATCTTGCTTTATCACAAACATTGGAGGAGAGGAGAGGTGTTTTGGGGGTGTGTTGGGGTTCTTGTACTTTGTAGCTGATACTAGAGATTGTTATAAACATTATAGTGGTCCATAAGTTGGTTCGTTATCACCACACGGGCAACTTTGGGTACATAACTTATATAGTAATAATAAGGATAAAAGTAACTATTAACAAACTAATGCTATTCACATTAACTCGTAAAACTGCATATTGAGACTTGAACTTGTGCGTTATAGTTCTAGTTATTTTTAGAACTGAAGATAAGCTCTAGAGTAAAACAGGTTCCATAAACATCAATAAAAACAATATTATATTACTGAAACAAATCTCACTACTCTGAAAAATAAAAGTATTGAAATAAAACATTAAACATTGGCAAAATATACACACACGATAATAAAAGATCTGGCGATTAAGGGGGCCGGGGGGGGGGTCTTCATCAAAATTCTCTCGAAATTGATTTTATAGTTGTTTCTGATAGAGGGGAGTGATATCTATCAGCTGCTTTTGGTCCCATGGAAAAATATTGTTCCTGGCCAAAATTATCGCCAGTCAAAGGTCAGCGCTTATGTGTAATTGTATTGCGCAAGCGATTTTCAATCGCGCGCCCTGAAAATCGAGTCTAAAAATCTATCTTCTCCTACATTTTTTGAGCAATCACCCTGAAACTTTTAGGATATGTTCTATGGATCATTTAGAAGATATCTGTCGAGCCGAATTTTGAGATAGGCCTTAGAAGATTTTTTATTCAATTTTGAAAATCTTGGACCTCATTTTTTTACGATTTTTCCTTAAAAGTAAAACGTTATTAAATGAAAATGGTATATAATGAGTTGAAATTTAAAACTCCGCAATAAAATAATTTTAACAAACTAACGAGCATAATAAAATTTAATTTAATTTAAATTAAATTCATAATCACTTAAATTTATAATTACTTTCTAATTACCATATTGTCAGAAAACAAACCTTCCATAAGCTCACAACACTATTCACTAGCAAGAAACGCATAGAATCATATAATACCTAGTGACAAAGCTATAATTAGCTCTTCTTACCACTAATGATCATGTTTCAGATGTCAGATGTTGTAAAAGCTGTATCAAATGTCACATCCGAACAACGCCCCCTTCAAAAGTCGGCATCTTGCCAAGAACCGAGCATTTAATAAATATCAACGGCTCTGAAATCCCGAACTGGATCGGAATGAAGGAATTTCCTGTAAATTTCAGACTCATAATGCCACCAATGCCACAGCTCCGCCTCTTCCAGCCCCTCATACAACATCTTCCACCAGAAAGCGTACAAATCTTCTAGATTAAACAGTGGTTTATCGATCTTCTCTGCTTGTTGTCTAGTGGGCTTTCCTTCCCATTCCCAAACATACCCCAGCCTGGAAACCTCCGCAAAGTTATAACTCTTCATCGGGAAATACCGATCATTCCTAACATTGTAACCGTGGGAAAGTCTGACCCAACTTTCATTCTTGGTGAAGAAATACCACAAAAAACTCGTCACATCTTGACATTCGTACTGACGTCTATTTTTAAACTCCTTCAACAATCTGTTATAAGTATCAGTTTGAGGTTTAAGCCCGAACATTGTCCCACTGAAAGAGATATCCACCACACCTGGTGCTGACTGATAAGGAGAGGATATCTTCCCTAACTGTATCGTATCAAACAGGACTATCCAGAGATAGTATTGGGAATGTAGCGGTATCTAGATACACAATCTTGTCATATTGTGTTAGATTCCAGGCCCCTAAAATCACATGATCACTATTTAACCCAGCACAACTTAAGTCTGGTAGCTTTATGATTTTAAACCCTGCTTTTTGTAACGGGTCTGTAACACTATCGCTCGTATTGTGCAGCACTGCTAACTTCTCTGATACACACGACAGTTTACCAAGCACGTGACCTAGTACAACTGCCTGAACGACAGACACATCATCATCTCGAACTAACGTCAACCAGGCTGACTTACCACTGACTGAAACACTGACGGAGTTACTGACACTACATCGGGAGTTCTGGTAACTTGTTTGATACTTGTAGAGCTCGTACTCAGTCTCTGCGGCTAGGTTCCTCTCGAGTGACCCCCGCGGGTCATCCTCTGACAAGACGAGTTTTGATATGTGTGAGAGCTGGGTAAGACTATCACGTGACAGATAAGGGTTAATCACGTGCAGCAGAACAAGTGTGAAGAGGGTGAAGGTAAGGAGAAGCCAGAGACAACGAGATCTTAGCAGGTTTTGAAGCGAGGTGAGTAGTCCTCTGTTGTATTCGTGGGGTTTGCGTTTTCCCATTCTTTAAGCTAACAAAAGATTTAGATAATATCTACATTGTCATTACGTGCGTATATTAATACATTATATATATAGTATATAATATGTAATATGTATACAGCAATTCTGAGTTTTCTGCAAAAAATGAGTAAGATATCATGAACGAAGCAGTTAAACAAACACCAATTTAGGTAATACTATTTGCTCATAATACGGATCAAATTAAACAACAAAGAACACAAAAACTCTGAATTAACGGGGAAAAAAGGGGAGAGTTTGAAACATCACCAAAAGTTAACTTTATCAAACATTTTTCAGGGCGCACAAAAATCCTTCTAAACGAACTCGTAAGTAGACCCTGTAAAGTCTAGCTCAATCAGACTTATCTAACTTCTGAATAATTGAAGGGTGAAATATTCTAAATATAGAATCTAGAAAATACTCTTTCCACGAAATTGAGAAAAAAAAAACATATTAAAACCTTTACATTGAACACTGAGAAATCAAGATAAGGAAAAATTGAAATTAAGTAAGCTTTGAGTTTCTTAAATTCGTGTCCTCCTTATTTCATGTCATAAGTTATATCTCAGTCAGCACATTTCTCTTAAATGGGAATAACTACTCTTCAAAATTCAACCACCACGCTCAGCGCGGTCACAAATAAAACATTTAATTAGCAGATAAATCACTTCCAAACACCTGTGTAATTATTGCGATAATTAGTCACACAATGGCTGCTTAATAGCACAGTAAATCGTTCCTGTCCAAATACGTAACAAAAAGTCACAAAAAAGTTGCAAAATTACCACTACATTATTATATTATTGAAAGAAACTAAAAACAACATAGAAAAGACAAGGAAGTGTCGCAAGCCCAGCTGTCGCACCATTATTCAAAGCAATGGTTACTAATCCTATCTGGCGACATTACATTGACAACCGTTGACCAATGACCACTGTTGAGTGAGTTGACCACATCTCATTGACCACTGTTGGATGTTTGACATTCTCTTTCTCTACTGATGATGTTCGCGAAGGAACTTTGTACGGTAGCCAGGCAGTATCCTTCCTGACCGTTCAGATCACTGAACAAATATGTGGGCGTTAGGAGTGGACTATTGTTGTTAGGGTACACAAAGAAAACGGGTTTGTCAAGTATGCACATTCTTGTCATGGATATTCTTTCATACGACTCAAATATCAAAAAAACGATCAAAGATGAGCATCAGGATTGTGGCTGAACTAAATTGAGAAATTGCGAACGAAAGGTTCAAGATAATCATAATTGACAAAAGACACAGCTTTTGAACTAATACTTACTCTTCGTGTGTAGCGTCGTAGAGAAACTGTAGTTCTGATATCAGCTCCGGTGTAGCAGCCCGGGTGATGATGTAGATGGAGATAGGCATCATGTCATCTGCTCCCAAACAGCCGATCTCGTTAGCTTCCTCTTCACTTTTTCCTGTGGGGGATATTTGGGGTCATTGTCGAGGGATCACGTACCCAATATAATAATATGTACATATACCCAATATAAGATCGCGTATAACTATTAATTTAATTCCAACTCCAACTTGTGTAGAAATTATCTTTGTTGTAATTGTGATATGACCGTTCATTCCGTGCGCTTTAACATTCCAAGTGATTAAAATACTCTTTTTGAAAATTAGTACCACAGTTCAGGTAACACACAGACGTTCAAAGGAGTGCAATAAAACAAATAGTCACATACACTGTGCTAGTAAGCACAGTGTGTGTGTGTGTGTGTTAAGTGTTTAACCATGATAGTCTGTGCTCCCAAAAGATGACACAGTGTCTGAATCAGCCTCCGATGAGAATTGAACTCATGACCCCTGGTTTACAAGACCAGTGCTCTAACCACTGAGCTACGGAGGCGATGATTGTGAGAAATTGACTAAATATATATACATTTCCATTGCCCTGATCAGGCAATAAAATGTAATAGAGACCCATCGAACCATGCGTACCTCACAAAGTGTACTGTGTACCTCACAAAGTGTACCGTGTACCTCACAAAGTATACAATTTCAACAAAATGTGCCAATTCTATCTTATCATGCGATTCTGTGTACATCGACAGTAATGAGATTCTCACATTGATTGAAAAGATAATTTTAAGTTGAGTTGAAATGTTGATCTACTTTCATGCAGGTTAATATATTGATACACATATCTTAAACAATATTTTACAAGTGAACTTCGAAACAATAATTTTCAATACCCCTCCTAAAACACAAGAAAATATTTTCTAAATTCCCTCCATATGTATAGAACTTTTGCACAACATAACCGGGAGTGGTGAGAAGACAGCATACTGAGCTACAAACACTTGTTATAACTTTGCTCAGGGGAAGGTCTGAGATGACACTCTGTTCGTGAGGAACACAGTCCAAACACTGGGGGTCAAACCAGCAACCCGGTCGGGGGAATCAACGAGCGAAAGATGTGACGTTAACGTCACGGACGTGATGAAGGGGTTCCACCATTGAAAATGCATCCCGTCAGATTATCAGTGTGATATGCTAAAATCAACTCAATTCAGACTACTCTCGCACCACTCCCTTTTTATACAAGTTATAAGCACAATTTCATGACATACACAGATGAATTGTACAGAAAGCGGGTATGTTAGTGGATGTACAGAGTACCGTATGGTACCGTATATTACCGTACCTGATTGAAGGTAGAAGAGTTTGACACAGGAACAAATAGTTTCCAGGAAAGAAGTGAGGAGTTTGAACTTGGTGACAGGGGAATAAGTCTCAGGTATAGAGAGCAGAGAGTCTATTGCTGCTTGGTATGGTGCATCTCCTAGATAATACCTGGCATATCAAAGTGTTATCTTCAGCTTAAGTCGTGGACTATTTAAGGTATGCGTGACGTAATGGTACTAATAGAAAAGTTTCACAGCGTATTTTCGAAAGAACATTCGTATGAGCACCCATTAGATAAGTTGATGTTTGTATTCTAGATGAACGAGCAGCAAATATCAACGAAAATAAAGCATAATTTTTAACATACCTCTGTTTGATGTCGGGGAAGGTCCTAATATCATCCTGACCGTGTTTAGTGATATACTTTTTAAACACAATGATTTCATCCTCCTTTAAGAAGCTGAACGTTTCCAGGAGGGGAGCTAGGAAGGGGTTGTAGAAAGTATCAGAGAGCTTGATCTGCAGTAGTCTCACTCCTTCCTGTTAAATAGATGTTGTTACTGAAAGATGATTAAGTCAAAACGCAGTACTGCACAGTTGAAGAACTGATGGAGAGTTGTTCCCAATCCCGTATGCATGCATATTAATCAACTACTTGGAGTTGGCGCTTGACTGCGGTATTATCAAGAAGGACAGATCACCGACACTATCCAACGAACCCAAAAGTGATTTGTTGGCAAGTCGGTGTAAAACAAGCAACCCTGGCCTTGTAAGCCAATTTAAAGCCAATGAAGGACAGATGGTAAACTACTGGTTTAAGCTGTTACCTCGCAGTTGAACATAGGGTACAGGTTGTAAAGTATTGTAGTGAGATTTATAACAAATTCTGACATGTCTCCCGTTATCGCTTCTACTTCCGCCTCAATCCCGGGATAGAGGGACTCTTTTTCTGCTTTTGTAGATGCCATGTAGATCTGTGATGTTATTTATTAAAACTTAACTTTGATTTTTATCTAAAATAACTTAACTTTTTTGATTTAAGGTGTCAATCGGGAAAATGAAAAGGCAAGTATGTTGTAATTAATTGAGCCCATGTGAAATAAACCATTTGATTCAAGGAATATAACCATGTTATATAAAGTGGTGTTTAAACGAACAGATTTAAATTTTATGGGGGACCCAAATTAAATTGCTGATTACATCCCATTGCATTGTAAGGTTACGTGAAGTAAACCCCTAAATTAAACCGTTTTATTAAAAAATTATTTAAAATTTAAAAAAATAATTTTCTCCCTCTTGTTTTTAAAGCGGGTACTATTTAAGGATTGTAGAAAGTTGCGAATGAGGGCATTTTCCCCCACAAAAAAAGCTGTTGTTACTTTATTTCGGGGGTTGAAGAAATTTAAAAACATCGAAAAAAACCAACCTGATTTTTAAATTGGAAATGTCAGTAAACATGTTTAATAAAAAAAAGAATTCTTCCCCCCCCACCCCCCCCCCACCATTAAACCTACCAAATACTTAAAAGAATGTGGGTTTTTGATCATGGGTCAAAAGGGGGTCCAATTACACCGGCCATTTGAATAAAGGGAAGGCCGGTTTTTAAAAAACCCGGGGGGTTCATACACAAACCGGTTCAACAAAGCGGGTGGTCTAGGACGTGCACTGTTTTGGTTTGGTAAAAAAGTGGGGTTCACAACTTTTGAGGTTGATTTCTAAGCAATGGGTAGAAAGTGTGTGCCAGATGACGCAAAAGGGGTCGTGTCTTTTTTACTTTCACAAAAGCTTAATTTGTTAAACTATATTTTCAATTTAATAGTCCACAGGTGACTGATTTTTTAACAACGTGCTACAAAAGGAAAAATTTTCCCACAGAAAACTAATTGGTTTTATGCATAAATTAAATAAGGTGGACATAAATAAATTATAATTATATAATAGAGGGGGAAAAGGGGCTTATTTGGTTTAAAGATGGGGGGGGCCAAAATTATTGGGGATCTTTAACCAAGTAATTTTTTTGCAAAAAATTGTATTATATTTTATCAGGGGGGAAACAATTTTTATTACTTGAAAGGGAATGTTCCAGTGTTTCATGTATTAAATTAATTCTTAAGGAAGGGGTACTTAAATTAATAAATTTAACATTAATATTTATTTACAATAAAATACAAAAAAGGGTTGGTGCCCACATTAAATTGGGGCCGTGGGGGGCCAATAACAGTTTGAAAAAACACCCCACCAATATCATTGTTTTGCTAAAAGGCTAATTTCAACATCTCCTGGGGCTTACGTACCAGGTATTTAATTAACAATAAAAATGTTTTAAAAATCTTAACGTAGATAAATAGATTGGTTATTTAAAAACTTTGAGTTTATCTTAAAATATATTATTAAAACTTTGATTTATTTTAGATAAAAAAAAAGGTAAATTAAAACGTGATTTATTTAAAATAATAGTTAATTTGTAACTTGAATTTATTTAAAGATGTTAATTTAAAAACTTTGATTTATAAGGTTTAGGCGGGGTTGGGGACCGCGGCCTCACACCATGGGCCAAAATAAAAGGATTTGCCTCTCCCATGGGGCTTTCATTACTAAGGGGGTAACATGTTTGTTTCAGTGGGGACATTTTTTGCAACTCCGGGGGTTTGCGGATTCTTGTTACATTCCATGCTCCTTTTTACTTGGATATTCATTGGAAACAACTTTTAAACAAATTGTTGGCTTTCTCGCTTGTGGTACCCCCGTATTTGCCTGCAAAGGTAAGGGATAGGAAGGAGTTTTCATGCAAAATGGGCTACTGCAAATATGCCAAATGGGGGGGGAATTATAGAAATTTTTTTTGAAATTTGTTTTAAATTGAAAATGTTTATTCTTTTAGGAATAATGGCAATACATTTTAATCCAGTTGCAGGGGAGGGGGGCCGGTAGGGAGGGGTTGGAGGTTTGCCCTTTTTTAGCACTTCTCTGCATAGGGGAATTTTTTGGCTAACTTGGATTCCGGGGTTATAAAGGGTCCCAATTTGGGTACACTTCCCAAAATCCCACCCGGAGAGCCGCCAGGGTTGGGTCAGGCTGCTGTTACCAAAAACCCTTGTGGGGGGAGGCCACCACCCGCCCATTATTTTTGTCATATTAGGGGGCCAACGTATATGGGAAAATTTGTAATTCTTTTCAGTTTCTGAAGGGTCGTTTGAGGAGGGGGACCTTCAAAAAAAAACTTGGGTTTAAAAATGGGGTGACTGCAATGTAACAATGGGTTTATTTTTTTTTTTTCCCTTGGGGCCACTATTTTTTTTATGGAAATCTTTTCAAAAAAATTGTTACATAACAATATAACATTGTGGGGGGCCAAAAAAAATAATATTAACAAAATTTTACACTTAACTGAATTTATAGCGATTCTAATGGACAACGATGTATGTTTAATTTTTTCATAAGGGGGGGGGGAGAAACCAAGGTAAACAATACGCCAGTTTTAAAAAAATTGTAGTCGGAACATACCCACACCGGCACAAGCCTAGTTCCGAGGTTAAATGAAAAAATCCAATAATAATATTTATGTTGATTAAAAAATTCAATTGTCCAATCCAGTTTCCCCTTCTCGGGAGGGGGGCGGGGCCTTTTACGGATCTTTATGGTTTTCCCTTATTAAACATGGAACCTCGCTTTGAGGCTCCAATCCCCGTTTTTTCTGCTTAACTGTCAAGGAACAAAAAAAACTTATTATTTTCCTGCAATAGGGGCAAAGCTCATCTTGGCTCGGGCTCTTGGGATTCGGTCGGGGCTGTTTGTTACCCACTTGAGGGTCATTTTTTAAAAACCCCCTTTCCCCAACTTTCTTCTTAGTTTTTTCTCGGGCTATGCTCATACACTTTGCCGACTGATTTGAAAAGCCGCTGAGAAGGGTTGGAAAATACTTGATTAGTTTAACGGGCTGGTCCTCTCCATTTTTTTGATTCCCCCAGTTTTTTCTTCCCCTCCTATTTTACAGCAAAGAAATACGATTCGAGGGGGTTTCTCAATCCCTATGTTTTATTTTCTAGTTAACCTTTCAAGCCACTCTCCTTGTTTCCCCAGGATTTTCTTTCACTCTTTTTTTTCTGGTAAGGGGGGGGGGGGGACAAACCGTTATAGGATTGGACCAGATTTTGGGGACCTTTACAATTCCTCTTTCCTCGGAGGAGGGCCCCACGTTTCAGTGGCAGGCAGCCTTTCCATTTCTTTAGGTTTTGGCTAGCGCCTTTGCTGCATTTGGGGGGTGAATTTCTTCACCAAACTAAAAACACTGGGACGGACCAGGGGGGGGCTTTTGGAGTTTCGCTTTTCAAACTGGTCGTCTGTAAACAGAGGGTTCCAATTCTTGCACTTCTTCTATCTTCAATTGGGCAATTGTTCCCACTTGCAGGTTTTAATCCCCACAGTGTTTCTATCGCAAAATCCTTTTTCGGGGGGTTCCTTGCAGTTGGTTCGATTTTCAATCTTTGTTTAGGGGTTTTTGGTAGCTGGATAAAAACCCAACAAAGCGGGGGATAAACAAATTAACTGGTCGGTGGAATGGGGTCGATTTAAAAGGTTTCCCCCAAATTCCCCAATCCCCCACCACAGCGTTAAGCCTTGGTGAATCTGAGGCTTGGTTGAGGGCGTTTCTTTTCGGTAACAACATTTTGGTTTTTCTGGAACACCCTTTTGTTGGCCGGGGCTTGAACGCTTTTCACGGTTGAGTTACAGCATTTAATTGAGCCCCCCCACCCAAAAATTTCGTTTTCAGGCATAACCATTGATCTTGGAATTTTGGAGGTGTAGAGTTAATTCCAAAACGGCTAAATTTTTGTCAATTGTTTCAAAGATTTCTCCAAGTATTTGTTAACCCATTTGGGATGTACAATTGTTACAACGGCTGGGGGGGGGCCCAGTTTAATGATGTTACCACGGGAGTATTTAATTTTTTTATCTTGCTTTTTACCCACAAGTGAGGGGTGCTGTTTTAAAAACCGACGCCAAAAATTTGCAAATTAAAAAAAACTGGATAAGGGGGGGGGGGGTGGGGGGGCGTGAACCCAGTGGAAAAAAAGGTCAATGAAATGCCAAAAATTGGCTTATTTTTTTTTGGTTAAACAAAATAATAATAAGGCGTTTTGGGCCCCCATTTTATGGGGGACCATTTGTTTTATTACAATTACTTAATTTTAAACGGTTTATATTTGTTTTTCATTTGTTTTGGCCATCTAGTGCACCTGTAAAATAATTAAGCCTTCTTAATACTACGGACCTATTTTATATTTGAAAAATAATTAAACTATTTGTAACGGGAACCCTTCATAAAAATTCCCCCACACGGGATTCCCCTTCCCCATTTTCCATCCAATCTGCCCTTCCTAGCATTCACGCCTTTTTTCTCTTTGTTTCCCAGCCTTTCCAGTTTTCCTTTGCTCTGGCACTTTCTTAGGGGGCCAGCGGTCTTCTCCATGGCTTCCCGCCGCCAATTATTTTTCAGGTTTCCCTTCCCTCCTGAGGCCAACGGGCCAGTGTCTAAACCTTCCCCCACCGGGCGGCATTCACCCTCCCCTTGGGCATAGGGCCTGTTCTTCCTCGTAATTTTGCGCAGGCAAGCCAAAACGCATTTTTTTTCTGCCGGTGGCTTTGCTCCCATTTCTGGGGGGGGGGGGGGGGGAGGGGACTTTTATTTATAGGGAAACAAAAACGGGGGGGGGGGGGGGGGGGGGGGGGGGGGGACTGTTTTTCATTTGGTTACCCAACCAAGGGTTGGGTTACCCAAAGGGAGAAGGAAGGAAAGTAGGGTAGGCCTCCGGGGGTTATTTGATGGTTTGCCTTGGGTAAATGTTAATTTGTAGCTTGTGTTGGAAAGGGTTGAGGGGCCCAAAGTGCTTTGTTTAGGGGAAAGTTTCCGAGAAGGGGTACAACGTTTGTGGAGGGTTTGTCTTTTCCCTGGGGGGGGGGGGGAAGATGGGTTTGGGTTCCGGGGAGGAAAAAATATTTTATTGCTGCTTTGAAAGCTCGGACAAGGGGTTCCAACGTTTCAGCCTTGAGGATTGGTTGAATTTTCGTATAAGTTTGGTTTAAAAAGGTGGGTTGATCTTCCCATGATGGGGTGGCCTGGTGAATTTTCATTTGCCGGGGGGGTTATATTTTAGGCTGGGTGGAACATTCAGGGGTAATTAATGGAGTCCCAGGGAGGGGACCAAAGCAAAGTCAGGCGCCAACCCCATCTCCCCTCAGGGCTCCTGGACGGTGGTAGGTGGCTCAGTTGGTGGGGCCGCTTGGGAGGAGGTGGTGGAAGAGCCGGGCCTTGTGGGTAAAATTTTCTGAAGTAAGGTGGAGCTTCCAGCGGTATTGAGGGGGAATGGCGCCTTTGGGATTGAGGGTCAAACACTCAGGGAGGGGGCGTGCCTCTTTCTTTCAAAGGGGGGGGCCGCTTACCATTTTTATTGTGGCGTTTGCAAGGCGGGTAATACTCACTTTCAGTTTTCGAGGGGGCCAAGGGATCTAAAGTTTTCTCTGGTTCTTATTTCGGGTCACCACCAAATCAAAACACATTAAGAGGGGGGGGGGGGGGAACCGGGTTTAACTGAAAAATATTATCCATTCCATAATCATTCTTGAGGTAAATTAGGAAAAAAACAAATTCAGGGGTTCGAGGTGACAATTTTCCAAATGGTGAAGCTTTGCTAAACCAAAAAATGGGGAGTAATTATGTTATGATTTAAATTTAAATTTTTTTATTTCGGGAACGGCAGGGGGGGGACAGAAATTGCATACTTAATGGTTAATAATTAATCGACTGTGTTTTTTTTTATGAATAATCTTTGTTGACCAGTGTTCATTTGACACACTGTTTAACTTACCAATTACTATTTTAGATAAAAAAATGGATAAAAACTAAAAAAAAACCGTTTGTTGCCAATGGGGAATTATTTGGTTGCAGGAATTTCAATTGACAAATAAAACCAAAGGAATTTTTACTGTTGTAAATTTTTAGTGTGGACACCTTAATAATTTTAAAAAAAAGAAAAGGGATAAAATCAAGTGGGGACAAATTGGTAATAAAAAAACCCTTTACCAACCCTAGGGTCACAACCAGGAGATAAACAATTTTTTGTTGTGGCTAAGTTTGGTGGCCTTTAATGATAAAGCCTTTTTTCTGTAGGTTTTCCTTCATATTCAACACGGTCAAAGCATAGGCGAATTCTCTACCAGCTTCATTCAAAAAAACGGCTGTGGGAACTTTCCCGTCATTGCTTTACTGTCAAAGGGAGCTGTGTATGCTATGTTTTTATTTCGACCCTTTGTGCACGGGCCTAAGGAGCTTACCCCTGTCATTTCTGGCCCCCCACTTGCACAGGAGGAGATCAGGTTTTTAGGGGCATTTTGTGCATTTTTCATTAAATTTTTTCCCTATTGCAAAATTTTTGCCTTGGGCCTTTGTCTATAATAGGTTCTTACCCAACAACCGGGGGGACGAACCACCAACCCACAACACAAGGGAAGGAACCTCCCTCAGTATTTTACCAAAATTTTTCATTTATTGGGCATAGGTATCCCTATAATTAAATTATGGGTAGGTCCCCAGGAAAAAATGGGATAAAATCCACCATTTTTCATGGTTTAAAACTTTTGGGGGAAATGTTGAAAAAAAACTTTCCCACCTCTGTGGACCCATGGTTCAAAGGGAATAAAGCTCTGGGGAAAAATTTTAGGAATTGTCCCATTTATTGAAATACTGGAGGTGTTAGTTAACCATTCCCTTTAAAAACCAGTTAGTGTACCTTTTGGACAAATCTTTGGTTATTATCTTATTTTCTTGCCAAGAGCCCAAATTTTTTTGCGCCCCTGAAAATGGGCAAATGGAAAACCAATTTTTCTAAGGGGGGGGGAAGTTTAGGCCACCCCAATAAGTATAACTGCAATGGTTTTTAATCATAGCTCTCTTTCAATCGCTTATTAATAGGGTCTTACATAATTTTTATTAGCCACAAAAATATTGGGGAGGCTATAGTGCACACCACCATTAATTTGTATTTAAATTAAATCCATCCAGTAAAAAAAAAATAAGTTAATTGTGAAAATTTGGGAAAAAAATTTACCTCACTGGGTCTTTCTTATTATTTTTGTTAAACCAAAGTGTGTTTTTTTTTTATAACAAATATCTCTTCTTTTCCTCCTCCCTCTCCCCCCGCCGCCGTTGTCGTTTCCCCCCCGATCCCGGGATGTTGTTGTTGAGAAAGAGATGGTAATAAACCACTTTGTTTAACAATATAGGAAAGCCAGTGGGAGTATTTTTTTTTTCCAAATTTCAATTACTTTTATTTTTTTTTAACTTGGATTGATTTATTAATTAACATTTAATGTTGCTATGTCATAGTGGTTGTTTTGTTTGGCTTTAATAAAAATATTTGATTGACCCTTTTAAAAATTAAGCTTTGAAGAAGAGGGCTTAAGTATTAACCATCCAGTTAACGTATGGGTGGGGCATTACTCTTAGAAAACAATTGTTTTCTATTTGGCCCCATTCTGCGGCAAAAATAATTTGTGGCCTTGGCAGAATTTAGATTATTCCCAAGATAAAAAAAAGGGTACACAAATCTGGTTAAAAGGGAATGTACTTATTACACCTCAGGTATTAAAAAATTTATTTTATAAAATGGGGGAACATTCTTATATTTTACAGAGCTATTCTGGGAGGGGAGGGGACATGGGTTCCGAGGGTAGGGAGTTTTTTCAACATTCAACTAAATAACCATGAAAAATGTGATTTCCTTTTCTGGGACTTAAAATTAATTATTTATATGGATTACTTTATGCATGTAAATTTGTATTTGAAGGAGGTTTCTCTTGTGAGTTTGGTGTTGTCGGTTGTGTTAGGGGTTAACCTATTTATAGGGCAAGGCAAAAAAAATTCGAATTGGATTTTGAAATGAAAATGGCCTAACCTGGGAATCTTTTCTCTGTGTGGTCAGTTTTGGCTGGAAAAATTGGGGGGTGCACAGGGGTAAGCTTGGCGTGGGGGACAAAGTCGATATAAACATTAAAAAAACCCAGAGCTCTTAGACAGTAATGCATGGGGGGGGGGGGGGACGGATTACCCAGCGTTGGAATGAAGTTGGTAGGGGGAAGAAATTTTCGCTTGCTAATGGGGGGGGACCTTTGTGATATGAAGGGGAGTAACTAATTTCCAGGGGAGGGCTTTAAAAGGCCATTTACTAAGCCAACAAAACAAAATTTTTTATTTTCTTTGGTGAACTAGGTTGTGGTTGGTTTCCAATTGTCTTTGGATTTTTATCCTTTCTTTTAAATTATTAAGGTGTCTAAAATACAACAGTATTCTGTTGTCAATGAATCCTGCACCAAATATAAAAAATTTTCATAGGGGCAAAAGTGTTTAATCCATTTATTCATAAATTTTAGTATCTGTTTAAGGTTTGAAACAAAACAGTTTTGTCAATGGGACTCCTGCACAAAGATTAATTTTCAATTAAAAACACAGATCGAATATTTATTAACATTAAGTATGGCCAATCTGTTCCTTGTGCCGTTTGATAAAAAATTTTAATTTATAATACAATAAATTACTTCCCCATTTTTGTTAGCAAATAAGGGCTTTCCATTTTTGGCGAAAAAAAATTGTCTCGACCCTTGAATTGTTCTAAATAAAAACCCTCTAGATGATTTAATGATGGATAATATTATTCAAGTTTAAACGGGGTCCTTTCTAATGTTTGTTATGGGGTGACGATAAAGGACGATGAAAACTGTTAGATTTGCTGGCTTCTGATAGGTGTAATTTGACCGGCTGCAAAAGCCCACATTAAAAAATGGTAGCGGCTTGGAAAAGGGGGGGGAACAAGGTGGGGGGCCCCGCCTCCTGGGGGGGAGTTAACCACCAATCCCCCAAGCATAGGCAATTCCTTCAATATAACCTGCTTGAGATCACTTTCAGATTTTACCACAACGCTCTCCTCTCCAAGGGCAGGGGCCCACCCCATCTTGAGGGCTCCCTCGGTCCAAAGGGGAAAATGCTGGAGGGGAGATTGGTTGGGGGCCTGGACTTTTGCTGTATTCCATCCTGGGACTCATTACCTGAAGTTGTTCAAGGGCTGATTAAAAAAAATAACCCGGCAAGAATGACCCCAGGCCCAAAACCCATCAATGAGATCAAGGGCCCCCCCCCCACCTTTACCCAGCTATACGTAAATCACCATCTCAGGATCTTGGGAGCGTGGGGAATTTGATGTACCAGCTTCAAGGGCAAGCAATAATTTCCCGGGAACAAACCATTCCTTCCCCGGAAGAACAAACCCTCACCAATATATCGGTTTTACCCTTCGGGGTAACTTTGCCCTAAAAAAAACAACAGCCCCCAACTTGCCATTCCAAACTTTCAATACACAGCTACATTACAATTAAACCCAGCCCAACCCATTCCATCATTAAAACCAGGAAGCTTTCCTAACTTTCTCTTTCTCCTTTGGGGGTTACCCCAAAAACCCTTGGTGGGGTACCAATGAAAAAAACAGTCCCGTTGTATCTTGAATGGTCTTCCCCCGGGGATGGGGGAAGCAAGCCACGGCAGAAAAAATGCGTTGCTCTTGCTTTGGGCGCATTTGTTTACGAGAGAGACGGGGGCTGCCA